TACAGAATTGAATTTGCTTTTCTAGAACGGAAGTTAGAACGTTTTAAAAATACGTGATTTTTATAATAAATTACTATGACAAATGTTTTATAATAAAATGATCGACAAAAATTAAATAGTGTAAATTACATATAGCGCTGCACTATGATAGTTAATCATATGATGTGCAACACCCCAATCGTTTATGCATAATTGCTATGATAAATTCTACCTGCATACATGCATGAAAAAAAACCTTAATGCAGTAGATTTTTTTTTTTTTTTTTTTTTTGCACGTTCTTCTATTTCTTTTCTCGGTATGAATAACCCATCTAAGAGGAAATTTGAACACGTTCTTTTAACGATGATGCACGCAAATTCCCAAGCGAAAAGGAGTGATGGCATAGAGGTATAAAGGTATAATGATGATTTTTTTGAAATACTAACGTATAGCGTTTAAAAAAAAAAAAAAAAAAAAAATGGATCAAGTTTTCGAACAAATTGAAGGAGAATCTAGTGTTGAATTAGGAGAAAGATTTGAGAAGTTTTGTATGAAATGGTTGGAAGGTAGATTTCTAAGATGGAGTGCGAAAGTGATTTGGACTGGGTAAGTTTTTTTCTTACATAGTTTTGTTGAGTTATTATGTATTTAAAGTTACGCTGCTAGGTCAATTAAGATTTCCAAGAATTGAAAGCACGTCGGGCGGGTTGTTTCTGCAACTTAACGTTCTTCTTGGTTATTGATTTCGTAGCGGCATTTTCCTACGTTAACTAGTGAATAAAATACATGCTGTTAAGCGATGAAGCAAAACTTATTATATTAAATTTTTAGTGGTTCTGGTGACGAAGGAAAAGATATAGTAATGGAAATTTGCGAATATACGGCGGTAATTCAATGTAAAGCTCATTTTAAAAGTTCAATAAGTAATTTTTTAAATAGTTTATTCATTTTATTTCATTTCATTTCAATTTATTTTTTAATATTTAATATTTTATTATTTAGAGAGGGAGCACGTTAATGAAGTAGAAATTACAATCAAGAGAGGAAATAGGGACATTGAGGGAATTCGAAAAGGTAAATTTGATTTTGGGCTTTTAGTTGGAATTTATTCATATAGTATTAGACCCGCGGCACTTAAAGCAGTCGATTTGTCAGAAGAAATAATCATCGTCACAACATATCATAGAATGTGCGATGAAATAGAAGAAGTTATTATTAATTTATTAAAACAAAAAGAAAAAAAAATAGAGGATAGATTAGTTTTTAATTTTCATTATAATTTATTTTATCGTTCTTTCTTTTTTACAGTTGTACTTTTATTAATTTTTATCTTACTTTATAGATTTATTATTAATTTATTAATTTAATTTATTTATTTCTTTAATCTTTATTTATTTAATCTTAATTATTTTATTCTCTGACAAGTCGACTTGCAATTAACTAAATTTTTTTTTTCTATTTTTTTTAAAAAAATTTTTAATAAAATTTTTGGTCTAGTGTTCAATTAAACAATTATTCAAAAATAATTTTGGGGTTGGCAAGGGTTTTAATTGTCTAAAACAAGAACCGATCAATTTGTCTAAATATCATAATATCATAATCGCGTTAAAGAGAAATAAAAAGATTGTCCGAATATACCTCGCACCCATTACACTATTGCTATATTGTGTGTGTGTGTTGTTTTTTTTTTTCATAGAACGCTGCGATTAAGAACAAGAAGTTTTATGTGGAGTGGTTTTTTAGAGCCTATATCATAATCCGTTGCTAAAGAACTAGTTATGCATTTCGAATTACGCTTTTTTATACCAATTAAGATTTCCAAGAATTGAAAACATGTCGGGCAGATTGTTTCGGCAACTTAGCATTTTTGCGTAGCGATACATTCCATACATTAATTAGTGAATAAAATATATATTGTTAGCTATATACAACTAGGAAAACGTGGTCCGTTGGATTCGCTTCACTTCGAACAATGTTGAAATATATTAAAAGAAGAGGGAGAAGGAAGTTGTACATTTTCGACTTCATCATTTTGACTATTACCACTGCTATGACCACAACCATGACCACGGCTATAACTATAACTATAAGCATGACTACAACTATGACTACTATCATAGCTTTCAATTCTTTCATCTTCGAGTTGATCGTCTTGAGCATCATAATTTTCATCTTCATCTGATTCATTTTGCTCATAATTTTCATGAGTATTATGCGATAATTCAACAATATATTCATAATCATTGTTCTGTTCATCAGAAATTGAGGTTTCCATTAAAAAATGCAATAAAAAAATTTTAAGAAAAAAAAAAAAAAGTTTTGAATAAAAAACGTCTTACATAAGAAAATTTTAAAGAAATTCTTAGATAGCACTTTTTGAAACAATGAGTAAGTATTTAATTAAATTAATTAATTAAATATGTTAATAGAATACAAATCAATATTAAACTAATGCAAAAAATTAATTGGACGATTTTTGTAAAGAAATATAAATCGATCTATATTCAAATTTAGAAATCGCAGACAAATTTGCCTAGAAAATTATTTAAGGGATAATAAAATGATTGACAAAAATTAAGGGGAGCACTGTTTATTATGTAATTTTCTAGGGAGAGTAGGAAGGTCAGCAATTTATTACATTAATATATTGAATATAAATGTAATGATTGGCTATTGATTTATCACTCAGGGGGGAGAGTGTTTGGCCTTCTAATAAAAAGAAATTACATAATAAATGGCACACCTCTAAATAGTGTAAATTATATATAGTGCTGCACTATGATAGTTAATTATATGATACGCAACATCCCAATAAATGATTTCTGTTTTCTATGACAAATCAAAATCATTTCACAAAATCAGACTAATGAAGCAAAAAAAATGAAATTGAAAAAAATATATAATTAAAAATATGTATCGAATAGTTTTTTTTTTTTTTTTTTTTTTTTTTTTTTTTTTTTTTTTTTTTTTTAAGCAAAGCTAAGGTGAGGCCATGTTTCTATCTTTAT